GGCACACACTTTGATGAGTAATCTGTTGGGAGCCTAGTTGGGAGAAATATTCAAGCATGCACAACAGAACGTAGTAGTCTCCAATTTCTTTTCCATTATCCCTATATAGCCCCAATATACTAAAGTAGTTTCCATTTTATTTTCCATAATCCCAATATTCCCCCATATATACTATTATTGTTCAAAGGCAGGCTTCATCGATGCATGAGAGCATCAACAGTTCAACTGCCGACAGCAGCGATCCAACAAACTAATATGGAAGCCCAGGGTACCTTTTTGGGGGTCCCCATCATGAAAGGACTACAGTACTTTGGGGTCTATATGGGTGTCCTTCTAAAAAAGATACGGTTTTGTCTGCTATGTCTTGCCATCGCATCTTGCCGAGCGGCTTTTCCTTCTCCAACTGCTCGCGATAGCTCTTCGTCTTCTCCTCCACCTGAACAGGGAGACAATGTTGCGTAGTCAGTATAATAAAGGGGTTCGGAATTGAGCAAGACTTTCGGCCCAAAGGAATTGTGACAAGAGTACTGTATAGAGCGAACTTTTGTCATGTACGGTTGAATATTAATGTAAGGCAGAAACGGAATAGCAGCTGGAAGCCAAAGAGTCCTGCCTTCTGAAGTTTCATTGGGGGTACCCCTTTCTACTTAGAAGCCTAAGGTGCTTGGGGTGGGGCTTTGTTCTTGGTACGCCCCATTGGTTGAATTTGGGAGGGAAATGCGGATATACCATGGATTGTGGCTCCCACCGTTTGGACGTTGAAATGTACGCGATGCTAACCTGCCATATCTGAGGGGGATTGATGTAGACTATGCCCGCCGGGGCTCAACAAATCCGGAAGACCACATCTGCTTTCTACAAAGTTTGAAGCCCAAAAACCTATAAACACGTTCTGTCGGCAATAGTAATGCAACCCGCCTGTTTTTCTGCATCTGTGCGGCTTTTCCTGGCAGCTCGCCGGCCCGCGAAGCTTGCCAAGCCCCAGAAAATGTTCGGACAGTCGCGCAGTTTTTGAAAGCTTCATTCAAGGGTTTATCCTGGGAAGTCAACGCTGTGCCCAGAACGTAGACACAATGTAAAATACGAGGTACGTCAAGGCATGCATATTCCTCCAAGCACGAAGCCGGCCAGGATATCGTATACCAGTTGGACGCGCATGGCACAAACCCAGGACCCAAATGCCACGAATGTCGGGCGTCCTCCAACCTGGAACTCTAAAACCCTAAATCCTCTATCCTGTCCTCTCCAACTCTGCCGTCAGCTGGGTGCGCTCCTGACGGCGGCGCTCAAAGTCCGCTTCAAGCTGTCGGAGCTTCTCCTGAGTCTCCAAGAGACTTGCGGGGTGCTGGGGCTTGGCCAAGGGCTGAAGATTTCAGCTACGCGTATCGGGCCTTGGCCATGAGGAGGGGATTCAAAGCATTATATAGTCCAAGCGCACGCAATCAGCCGAACGCTGTGCTCCACACTAACCCTCAATGCGCAGCCCAACTTCAGAATACTTGTAGCGGCAAGTTGTCCCAACTCTGCCCTTCTTGGAACGGGCGGCCACCCACGACAACTGACAACTGGCAACCACAAAAAGGCGCAAGCACGAGCTGAAGGCACGGGAACATAACACATGTGTCATGATCCGTGCAAACCCAAGCACTATAAGGCTAAGATTACTCAGCTCCGGCATGTCAAACTCATCTCAACCTTGTGGTCCTCGTGGTCCTTTTCCATCTTCTGCAGTTGAGCCTGGCGTGCTGCCTCAGGGCCCTACATGCTGCGCCAGCGCTGCAAGGCGATGCAGAATGCTTTGCTGGTACACCGCTCCCAGAAAGGGCCCCCACTTGGGCTCATGTAGGGCGGGCAGCCCGTTGACTTGAACGATATCTGAATTTTGAATATTTCCTATCAAGAACCTACCCACGGAGACATACCTGTGTAGAGTACGGCCCATGTTGGAGGCTCATTAGAAAAGCAGCGTTTTAGTCAGAGGCAGTGCATTATCCACATTGACAGAAACATGTGGTCATGCGTGCTGTGATGATACCAGCTATACAGATCGACAATCTTGGGAAAAGGCCTGGCAACTGCCCATAGTATTCCAACCTATCACGGGCATAATCGGAGCATCAATGCTTCAATCACCGTATCCCCTGATTATCAGGAGTCTACCAATAACACCAGAAGATGGAAAGTGCATGACCAACGTCTTACTAGACCCATCAAGAAGACCCTGCAACATCTATCTGGGCCCAAATGTTATAGCTATGAGTAGCAGGCATGCAAATATCCAAAGGGCCTCCAGCGCCGCTTGGTTGGAATCGGACAGAACCGGTGCAACCTGGCCATTCCCCGCATAACACATCAATGAGCAGTTGGTCCCGGGGCTGTGAGGTTGGGGACTTTGAGGCTCGCAAGCAAGCAGTGCAAGCAAAAATTCAGCAAAAACACAATTCTGGATGTCTAGCCTTTTTATAAGCCTTTCACACGAAAGACTTCCCATGTTCGGAACCTCTGCAAATCCCACATCCATGGCCACATGAACGGACCCTGCACGCTACACAGGAGCAGGTCCCAGACTCTGCAACGTCAGAAATCTTAAGCCCCAAAACCATTTGCATCTGGGCCCACACACAGCCAGAAGGAGCTTCCACTCAGCCCCAAGACCCTGAGCCTCTGATTCTGGATCACTGCTTCGATCTGCTCATGGGTTTCCAATCGAACGTTATTCTGCATGGGTGATTTCCATGAGGGACATGTTTCACACCCCAAAATTGTGCTAAACCTACAAAAACGCTCAACAAAACTGCGCAACTCTATACCATCCAAGATAGTCCCGCCTGGCCCTCAGTGGCTTGAAAAAAAAAGCCGAGAAGCGACGGCCGCAGGTGGAGGCCCTTTTGGTGCTGCGGGCGCAGTTGGCGGCGGCGCTGCAGGAGGTGCGCCCTTGGGCAAAGATGCTTGTATTGGGATTATCTTGGGATGATATTGGGATTATATTGGGGTTATCTTGGGGTATATTGCGATTATATTGGGCTATATATTGGGGTTATATTGGGGTTGGACGAGCCTTTGTTTTGCGCAGAATGGTGCAGTAAGTTTCTGTCCAAATAAGCACAGAATCAATCGAATGAGTGTGGCGGTTACATGGTCCGCACTTTTGCTAAGGCCATCGATATGTCCATCCCATCCCCTCCCCACTACAATAAGGAATGCCTGTTCCACTTTCATGAGTAACATGTGCGTACTGATGCTTAAGCATCTACATCCCCCACTTGGTCTTTCGGTTTGGGGTCTGGAATTTAGGCTTTCTGGTTGAAGCTTTGGGTGGGAGTGATGAATTTGGGGCTTAAGGGCAACATGGTGCAGATCAGAAAAAGAGGTTCCTTCAGAGCTCGAGGAGGACTTGCTGAGGTTTTCCGGGGAGCAAGCTTCTCAAACCTTCCAAAAGGTTGAAACTCCGCTGGACTTGAATGACTCGAAGGCTGTGAAGAAATCAAACTGTGCCCATTGAACAAATTGTACGTATCTATGTCGGATCGTAGATAGATATTGCCTCAGCAAATGCTGTGAGATTCTGTAGAGGTGGTGCATGAGAAGCCTGCTAAAGTGGCACCAGTACTATCTTTACGGCATATATTATGAAGCTGTTTCCATGCCAGCATGGTTGACAGTACTACCAGTCCAGCTAATTTTCATGCAAATGCAGACTTAGAGCTTCGGGGACAGGGTCTCAACCAAAAATGCAGGCAGGGGGCACTCACCGGCTGGCTCTTCGACTCAGGGGCGGCCGATTTCAAGCGTTCACGAGCTTCCTTCTCCATGTCCTTGCTTTTAGGATTTAATCTAGGAATTCAGGAGTTTTACTGCCTTGTAGCCTTGGAGGCTATGGGGTTCAACATTGTCCAACGGAAACAGGGCAGTAACGCGGATTCAGTTGGCTAGCGACGACATCCCTGCCCTGAACCATGATCCCTTACCGGTACCACCCTATCCCTTTCCCTTGGAAATGAAGGTCCTGCCACCTCAACGCAGCAAGGCATTCTCACTTGAAGGGGCACATGTTTTGGCACATTGACCAGGATTGCTGGAACACGAGCTAACGTAACGAACCTATGAACAAAATGTCACCGCCGCTATTCAGGATCCTAAAGCACACCGGGGGACGGGAATCTCTGATTTGATGCGCTCTTCCGCCTCTTTCCGCAGGCGATCGCGGACCTCCTTCTCCACGCTAGCTGCTGCCGAGGCCCGCACTTTGTCCTTCGAAGTCAGGGTTCCTAAAGCGCCACACTCAGTTGACCCAGGAAGTATGATCCAAGCATTTTCGGTTGTACACATGGTACGTTTGCTGTAGGGAATGCCTTCGCCCTGGGCAAGAGTGTATGACCCAAATAGTCGAGTCCGGGAGTGAAAGATATGAAAGGGTTTAAGTGCACAATGCCAACAATCCACGATTTCAATTCAGCAGATGCCTTCTGTGCTGGCAGAAATGCAGACCTTTTCTGCAGAGAGCTGTTCCCATTGCTTGACGATGGATGAAATTAAATCTCCTCTTGCTAGTCGAGACATTGTTGACACTGCAGAGCGCATCTTTTGAATAGTCTTGAGACACCCTCTTTTGTCAGGACCTTGCGATAGGCCGGCCAAGAAGAAAAATCTGAGAACCCGCAAGCCCCAAACGCGTAAATTGTCAATGCCAGTCATCTGCTTCATCCGGTCCTCTGCCTCCGTCGCCAGCTTCTCGCGCGCTTGGCGCTCTAGCTCTGGCAGCAATGAGACTGCAGCTTCTTCTGCCTCTGGCTGACCGCTTGATTTCCCGTGCGAGTCGATCGCTACCCTCCTCAAATTTACTTTTGCGTTTGATCGGGACTTCTACTAACCAAAACCCTAAAACAAACATCAAGGTATCACAAGAATGGCCAAAGGGACTCTATTGCTGCTGGTCTAGACATCCCTTTCCTTGACAAAGTTCTCTCGAGAGTGACCACAAAAAACAGCAATCACTTGGTCTCTGCTCATCTGCAACACGCTTGGTTAACATTGGGATAATATGGGTAATATTGGGATAAGATGGGGTATCTTAGGTTATATAGGGAGACTGGAAAACAAAATGGAAAGTACCATAATGAGGGAAACCCTCAGGCATACGGCCTGCTTGGCCAGCTTGTCACGCGCTTCCTTCTCCAGCTCAGGAAGCATCTTCCTGGTGTGCGTGTGTGCGGCAAACTGAACCTACACCCTATATTCCCCAAACTTTAACCTCAAAGTTCAAAAGCACTGGTCGTGGGCAACTGCCTCAAGATGTGTGTGAACTCACAACAGAAACTAATCGCTCGACATGTGCCTGGCTTTCTCCTCAGCTTCTTTGAGCAGGCTGGCGCGGGCCTCCTCTTCCTGATTATGCTTCAGAGAAATGGGGGTTTTGGGAGCTTTCGCAGTTTTTGAAACAAGGGCTGCCAAAGGAAAACCGGCCCGCCAAGGAAAAAACTAATGACGCTCCACAGGCTTAAAAATGCGGAACTCCGCAGCGCCTGGGATGTCCAGGAATTCTATGCCCTCGGGATTCCCTGTAGACTGGCAGCGGATCCCCCTAAACCGGGAATTTCTTGCTCAGGAGCTAAGCTTTCGGAGGAGATCCGTGTTCGCGCTTCCTGGCCCAGGTAAGCATCAAGCTCGAATGCATATGTCTACTATAATACTCTATGGCGACTAGGACTATGCTCGAACGCATATGTTCACTGCGAATACAATATGACGGCTCGGCATTGTAAGATAGCAACTTGCCTCAAGATGAAAGGCCACACAGGCTTATAACGCTGAATTAGAGGATTTCCCCATCAAGGATGTTGGGAACCCGCCGCTCGGAGTTGTGGAGCTTTTCTGCGGGAAAGGCAGGGCCTTCTAATCAGATTGGAGCGTGTTGCAGATCAAGGCTCAAACAAAGAAGGACCGTGGTATAAGCATGCCGGACAAGAAATGATTTGAGAGAGGCTAAAGACACTTCTAGGGATTTCCTGAACAGCGGATGTCATTAAAAAAACAGTCCTCATCAACTTCCCGTACTGTGAGAAGCTGGAGTTCTGAAAAACTCCGGTGCAAATCCCAACAGATCAGTCATGTCCCATTTCCCCTGCATGAAACCTTTGTATTTCTGCAGTGGGGGACATCTCCCATGCTCCCATCTGCACAAGGCATCCTGCTCCAGCTCCGCTTGTAGGCGGCGCTCGAGGTCGGGCAGCGTAAGTCTGACCTTCCATCATGGTAAGGGTGGGGGGTCTGAACAGGGTATTGGATACAAGAGGAGAATATGCCCCAGACTCTCCAAGACTGTAATATAGAACTGAACGGCGGTTTGTTTGAAAGGTAATTCAGGAATGTAATTGGAACCTTCCAGAGGATTGGAAACGCCAAGGCTCAATGCTTTGGCGTTGAAACTTTGCCAGTGCAACTGAGGTCACATCATCATCCGCATCATCATCATCATCACCACAATAGCCGCCGCCGCCCCACCACCAGCACCACCAGCACCACCAGCATCACCAGCATCATCAGCATCATCAGCATCATCAGCATCGACAACATTCTCACAATGAAGCTCACCGGCATGCTGATGCTTCTAGCAATCCATCCTCAAGCTGCTACTATATTTTACCAAACACCAGGATGTACGGCAGCACACATTTGGTTTCGCAGAAGCAGCCAAAAGAGTCCAGATGTGCATTTTCTGGGTTTCAGGTTTTACGGGCCTGTAAGCCATAAATCCCACAACTTCTGTGGGAGGCTGCTGTTGAGGGAATAGCATGGGTGAAATTAAATGACCCGACTTCTACATGGCTGGTAGCTTACGCCGCCTTGCTCTCGACTTCTCTCTCCAGCCTCTCCTGCCATGTCCAAGCTACCAGGCTTCGTGCTTCACAAATTCACAAACTACCAAACCAGAGTGCCAGGCATTCGCCACTGCAGTTGGTGCACCAGCATGCATGCGTAGTCGTGCAAAATGCAAATACAGGCGCAAGTTTGGGGCTTAGGGCTCAAGTGTTTGTGTTGCTATTCTGAAGCTATTCACGATACAGGCAACTAAACTGGGGATGCGGTCCCGAGTGGGCGATGCCTTGAAAGACGACGAGCATCAATGAGCCTAGACTGGGCTCACATGAGGCCCTATACCTCTTGGCGCTACAACTCCATGAGTAAAACATACAGTGTACTTTGTGATCCTGTCGCCTAGGGGTGAACATGTTTCGGAAAGGACAAAGGCCGTGAATGTGCTGACGAAACTGTGCGCTCGGAAATGGCCACTGAGACGGGCTGCAGTGGCAGGGAACTAGAAGTGGTCTCAAGTTTAATAGAGCGGCCAAGATTTGAGAACACCTTCATAGACTAGATGTCAACTGATGTTCCAAGATGCCGTTTCAACAGCTCAAGGAAGCTACTGTGGGACCTGGGAAATAACATGACACATAGCCTGGTAAGTTGGCCTCATTGCCATGTGCGGGGTCTATTACCTCGGGGAAGAGCTTCGTGACCTGCAGACTTGTGCAAAACGATGGATAACATGTCCTGTAGTAGAAAGGCTAATAACCCTTTCCGAGGAGCCCGCGACCAAAAGAAAGCAGACTAAGTAAGACTACACCCATGATCAGCCAAGACAATACCCAAGCCAACACGCCATAACAGGTCCTCATAAACATGGCATGTAGTCCTTCATTGCACATATCTATAACCAGATTGTAGCAGTAGATGGTGGCAACGACGGTCACAATCAGAACCGCAAATGCTGTCGTGACGGGTCCTGGACTGTCTTCTCGATTTCAGGAAGCGAGCTCCTCATCCGATCCTCAGCCTTCAAACTCTCAGCCGCTCGAGCAAGCCCTTCAGCAACACTGTGACATTGGGTCACAGCATCAGTCCACAGGCATGATTCGTGGCATAACATTCGGCACACGTCTCCTGCGAAGCCTTTCTTAATTATCGACTCAAGGCATCCCAACAACCTGTAGGCAACAGGGTGTGTAGGAGTCCGCCTGCTCTGAGTCCACACTGCGACTCCACTTCCCTACAGCTTTGTAGTGTCCACTCCCTGGCTCCTAGATAGAAAATGCCGCCCGTATCAGCAGATGAAAAAAGAACGTGGACAGACTTCGGTCGCTGGCCTCTCTTTCTAGCTTCGCCCTGGCATCGCGCTCGAAGGCGGCAGCGGATGGTTTCAACTTCTCCTCCACTTCCCTCTCCAGCCGAGATCGCCTTAACAGCAATGAAACACTCAACATGGGTCAGGAATGGTCAGGACATAGGTGTCTGCAAGCGAGAAACTCTGCCGTTCAGCGGCTCACTTCACTTTTACCTTTGCAGGTCTGACAAAGACCTTCATACGTAGCGGCACCCATTGACTCCGCCTAGACCCTCTGATAAACCCTGAACACGGAATCCTCTTCAAACTCGCCGTGCGGCTTGTCGCGTTCCAGCTGCTCGCGCAGAGCCTTCAACTTCTCCTCCACCTGAGGAGCAGGTTTTGTGAGCGCCCCTTTGACCCGCTTCAACAGCAGTCAAAGGTTTCATGGGTTAGGAATCTGGGTTTAAAGAGTCAAGGAATGCAGGTTTGGGCACGCTGCACGAGGGTCTGGGCATTAGGGAGGAACTAAAGGGAGCTTCAGGGTTTAGGATTCTGAGTTTGCTTCTGGTCTATAAGAACCCTTTGCTCTCTGGCGACACGAGAAACTTTGGGGCAAGTCCATACCAGGCCAGCTGATACACGATTTTGCTGCCCCTCGTGTCAGGCAAGTTTTTTCAACTCTAAGCTAAAAGACCCAAAGCCCGGAAGCCACCGGACCTTCCTGTCTAGGCCGGGACTCAATCGCACAAAGGCTCCATAAGACAGCCTTGACATTCATGTGGGACGTTGTCAGCTGATAGACTTCGACCTCTAGCTGGCAGACGTTTAGACTGCCAGCTCAAAAACAAACGTGCTTTGTTGTAAGGGCCGCCTGTGGGCTCTAGAGACTTCCTTGGACTAAAGCTTGTAATACATACTTACGTAAAGCGCACCACATCCATGCCGCCATCCAGTCAGCACTAAAACCCCCACACCGACCTCCAGTACGTCCACAGTAGACCGAGTTCTCTACAAAAGCTTCGGGAATTCTGAACTCCTTGCAAATTTCGCAATCCATGCCACAAAGACCCCAACACCCAAACCCTGAAATCCGCTCTTCCAAACCGCCACATCCCTGGCCTGTTTCTCCGCATCAGCGCGGCTCCTCCTGTGGGCAACGTGAGGGAATGCCCTTGAGGGCACAGATTGTTGGTTCTGAGGATCTCGAAGTTGCAGAGATTACAGATGCGCCAATCCCCACGAGATTGAAGCTTCTTCAGCGGCTCTGCGGTGTGGTCTCCGACTCGGGATGGGCCAGATGTTCCCAAGCGCGCCAGACGTCTAAGCGTTTCACTCATGGCAAAAGTATGGGGCTTGAGGATAGGTCTTGACGTTCAAGGGTTACGAGGGATCAGCTTTCCAATCATTCTGGTTACCATGTGCATGTGGGATAATTTCTCTTCAGTTGCTCGATGAAGACCATGTGATCCAAGGTCACAGGGCTCTTGCGCTACCTCACAATGCACAAGCTGCCTGGAATGTTCGCCCAATTTCGCCCACAAGCTCCAAGCCATTGGCATGCTCGGGGCTCCACGTACCATGCAGGACTAGTATTGCCACCGTTGACTTCGTGAGTATACCCGGACCCAGTCCCTACCCCACTTCAGAACATATCACCTTGAGGAATTGAATTCAGAACAGACCCATGCAGTGCCTCAATAATCCGGATGAACCTGAAGCCTGCAAATGTTTGCGAGGCCCACACCACTTCCCCACATAAGACACCTCTCAATCTCGATCGCCAGCTGTTGCGTCTTCTCATCCCGGCGGCGTTCGAAGTCTGCCTCTAGCTGGCGAATCTTCTCCTGTGGATAGGACCACAGGGTTGGGGGGCTAAATGCTAGCGGTTTAAGGGTTTAGGCGTCATATTATGCACTGGCATATGTTAGAAGTTCAGATTTGAAAAGTTTAAGGGATTCAGGCTGACGCAGAGCTTGGGGGATTTTGCAGGCCTCATCAAAGCAGTGAGGAGGCCATGGTAATGCTTACGGGATGCAATGCTTGAAAGGCTGTCATCTTGCAGCTTATCAGTAAGGGCTTTAGGCTTCAGTGGCACTCAGGCCTTCAGACTTTCTTGGCTTCAAATGCCCAGCAGAGCCTGAGCCTGGTATTTTGTCCAAGGACACGTCGATAGCCAGATACGTCATGGCGAAACTCCCCAAACGCAAGGCTTCATAGCCAAAAATGAGGACTGTCTCGTTTTCTTGTGGGCCATGACATGTCTATGCCCTATTTAGGCAACCTACGCGGGGCACGAAATGAATCTAAACCCCACAGCCGGGCCTTCCTTCTTGTCAATGCGCCGAGAACAACTAGAAGCACAGTTTTTTTAAAAAATGTGGTGGGATCCTACAAGGCGACCCTGACACCCGAAAATCTCTCTCTCTCCAAACCTTGAAGCTTAAAGCCCTGCAGCCTAAAACCACAGCTCCTGGTGCTCTTTCTCAAGTCGCTGGAGCCTCTCTTCCTGATCAGCCTGCGCCACTTCGTGGGAAGCTCAGTCAGGTTTGGGGTTCAGAGCCTCGAGGCTTTCGGGCTTATAAGGCAAAGTAAAGGTTTTAGAGGTTTGGGGTTTAGAGTTTCGCTTTTTGGGTTCAGGGAGTTTAGGATGTCGGCTTTCGAGCGCTTCCCTGACCCAAATGGTCCAGGTACAGCTACCGAGCAGTTTGAGGGTCCGCGGTTGTTGACAGTCTATCCTTCTTGAGATCAAATAGCCACTCTGTGAACCTTTGGCCAGCCATCCTGCTACTTTAACGAAGGGATCAACCACCCCTAAAACCCCTAAACCCTAAACATCCCTAAACCCTATATAGCCCGCATTGTTGGGACCCCCAAAAGGTACCCCTATTTTTGGGAACTAGCAAACCAAGCTCAGCCAAACTCAGAAATGCTGCGACATCCCACGCGGGCTGTGACTTCAGCCTGCAAAGCCCATAAAGGGGAAATCGTGCCTGTTTTATCCAAATCTTTGCCTCTGATTCGCATACATCCCTAGCGTGCATAAGGGCACCATATTTTGAGAAAGCATCCCCATGCTGAGGTACTCGACGGAAACTAGCCACCTTACTCCAGTACTGAGATTTCAGGCTGTGCGAAAGACCACAAGATGTAGTTCATCCCTCGTTGCTTGAGATCGCTTGTGCGGCGAAGGCACATCCAGCTTACCCCTTTGGGCTTCGTAAGCACTGGAGGATTCGGACGGGGAAGCCTGGAAAGCCATGCATTCAGCTTTATAAGGCTTAGGGATTGATAGCGGTCAGGGGTTTACAAATCGGCCTTCTTATATATATTTATGATCTGTATAGACATATACATATATATATATACATGCTAGGGACTACTAGGGCTTAGACGGCCAAGGTTACCATGTCCCAGAGTTCTGGTGGACTTACGCTTCCCCAATGCATTGCTTGCGGTAAGGCCTGAATGCAGTGTCAGAGCAATGGTCCATGTTGGGCTTGGAAAAGCCGAGCCTTCATACTAAAGATGTTGTGAGAAAACCTTTTCTCCTAATGGATTGCTATGCAATGGAAGAACGTTTGGCCCTGGCTCGTTTCATCGCCAAGGGGCCTATTACACAGATGCCAACATTACCAAGGTTCTATACCTACACACATGCGGCCTGGGTAGCTCTAGCGCATATGGCTTGGAGCTCAATTTTCCGATGGGCTCAGAACAACTACATGGTTCACCTAGTAGGAGAGGACAGCCCATTATGTCCCCTTAGCAACCACATGTCCAGAAGGACCGCCCTCAGACATTCAAAAACTGCAAACGTATTCCTGCAGCGTTTGGGGACCCCTTCTCATTTCTCTGCTAGTGTCCAAGGAACAAAGCTCCTGGATAATGGAACATTGCTAAGAGCAATCAAAAAATAATCTAATGATCCCAATGATGCGCATGATGGTTCCCACGATTCCAAAAAGCGAACAGGAATCTCTTTGAGGGAGCAGAAGGGGGCAAGCAGCAGTGGTTTTCTCAGAAGGAATAGCACATGTATCAGTAAGCATCAGCGACATATTGCAAAGCTCATTGCACATGTTCATGCCTTGAATCCTGTGCCTGGCCTGCGACGGAGCAGGTTCTGGCTTTGCCTGCATGGGGAACTCACTTTCTTTGAGGACAGGTTCCTAGCTGAGACCTTCCTTCTTTGAGGACAGGTTCCTAGCTGAGACCTTCCGCTTGCCTGATGATTCCATCCACTCTTCCTCAGTAAGCCCAAGCCTCTAATGAAGAAAGCCGCCCGGCCCTGGACACCTGTGCCCAGCAAAGCCTCAACCAAAACCTTTCAATGACTCCATGGGACTAAACAACAATGCTTACCTGGAGCAAGCTACCACTCTGGACTGGACCTCCCCTTAACCCACACACAGCTGTTGTGACTCCTGGCAAAGTATCTTCCTTCATGCAGTTTATCTCCGAGTTGAGTTGAACCATGTGGCTTCAACCACCCCATACCCTGAACCTAGTTGTTCTTTGACCGCTCTCGCGTACTTCAATCATTCTCAATCTATGGCTCTCTGAAACCCCTTCCTGATGTCGAAGCTCCCCTAAGCCAACACTCTGCATCAAAAATTGGCCTCCTTATGCTCTACTGGCCTCAACTTTGAAATTAACAGCTCTTTCCAAGCCTTGGGCTTGCAGTCAAACACCAGCCTGCACACAGCTGGAGTCTCGGCGACGCTATGGATTGTAGGGATCATGCAGGGAAAGTCGAAACTTGAGGGTGCAGCTTGAAATGCGGGAAAGCCTCCGGAATGCTTGGAAAGTGGTAGGATGTAAGGTATCAGGACTACCTCCGAATGTTGCTCCGGTAAGTTTGTCAGGAAAGTGGTACCAAGATTTGTGATGGGACTCGACAGGCAATCGCAAGTTTGTGTCAAGCATTCCGGAGAAAACATTGGTGTACGGGCTTAGGAGTACGACCCTGGTGGCCGACATTTCCCCTTTTGCAACAATGATTTGAGGTGTGCGCAGCTTGAGCTAACCCAGGATGTCCGACATACAGTGTATGTTTCATTGATGAGGGGAAAAGCGGGTTCGATGCCTACCTAAGACCAATGGAAGGGCACGCCCGTTAACACCCTCAGGCGGCAGAAAATGGCTAGAGACAAGCAGCAAATACCCGTCATGCTCAGATCCACGACAACTCTACAACAACCATCGACTGACACCTCCGAGAGGCAAGGACACGCAAACAGAAACAGAATGCCAAGGGGCTTATTCTTGCTGGGCTTCCCGAAGAGCGACTCGCCTGGCTTGGGCAGGTCCTGCACAAGGAAGAGCCCCCAGACCACAGAGTTGACTACGACGGGGCCTGCAGCACTGATCGTAAGATGGGTTTTGGAAAAGTCCCACGTAACCATAAGCAACTTCTGGTGGCACAGCACAGTCAACTTCAGCAGGTCCATCTTTGGTGGGCCGTCGATGAGATCGCTGCCTCAGCTGATTGCCCAGGACCAAAAGCACCCAATGACTCAAAGAAAAATTGTTGGAAGCTTAGAATTGGCACGCCCCATACCCAGTATTCTCAGGAAAGAGAGGACCCATGATCTTCAGGCCTCCCCGCGGTGCACATTGTCTTAGAGGCCCGAAGCACCACTTTAGATGCATCTCCTGGACCCAAATATTTCCCAGTATACATGCGCCCCAATTGCGACCCAGCATTTCACGAAACACCGTGCAGGTGAGAAAACAATTTTTGAAGCACAGCACAGTTCCCAATCAAGCAGACGCAGCAGCATTGGTAGCCCGAACTTAACGGATGTCATCGTGCGAACCTGAGCCTAAATACGTTGGAGGCAATGGGGTGTGCAATATGTTCTGCAATATGTTCTTGGGGCAGAGACCCCGGAAGAGTACTGCCGTACTCAAGAAAGCTCACATCTTGCTTGGCCACGCACCCTTTGCAAGAAGTGAGGCGCAGACCTAACTCACCGGAGCCGCTCTTGCGCTTCTTTTCCTTTTTGTCCTTCTTGTCTTTCCTGCGGCAAGGAAAGGCTTTGGAAATTCATGGTGGTGTAGATGTGATGTTCTTCTTCCAGGTGAGGCTGACCAGGCATCCTTTGCAAATGGACTCAACCTAAGGTAAGTGAATCAGCATAAGTAAGCAACAAGAATGCTCAGCGCAACCCTGGGATGGAAAGCCATCCGTTTCAAAATGGCGGAGGCATCTGGAGCAAATGCCCTTCAAAGGATGCAGCAAGACACAGCAAGGAAAGGGCTTCAGCGGTACATTATGGCCGCAGCCATCGAAAAGCTCAGTCCGGCAAATATATTCTTCTGAACAACTCAAATCGTCTGAGAACATGTCCACATTGCCCACCTCTTTGAGTCGTCATTACCTGTTGCTCGATCTGCTTCTTTTTTCGCCTGGCAGGGTCGTTGCGCATGTCTCTGTTTGGAGGGGCTGCTACCATGCAGAAGTACACCAGTCAGAGTCAGGAAATGACCTGAAACACAATGGGAAGGAATAGAGGCTCATAAACAGCAGCTGGCAAAACCCAAGAACGGCTTCTCGGGAGCGTCCAGGGTGTGCAGCCAAGACTTCAAAATCTTGTAAATGAAAGGATGTTGGGCTCGAATACGGGGCTGCAATCCGGAACGGTCGATTGACGCGGCTTTCTTAATAACAGTGAGGTTGTTGAGCGATCATCCCGTGAAAAGGCAGGGGCTACTCCGCAAGAGCCCGAAGTACCTTCGCATTGGGCACTTGGATCCTTGGAATGATTTTTCTTAACCCGCTGGCCATCCTTGTACTTCTCGTAGACCTTGCGGTAGTGCTCGTCGCAAGGATGGTCCCAAACACTTTCACCTGCCAACTTCTGGCCACGGACGGCTTGCCAATCAATCACTGTAAGGACTATGGCTATGACCTTCAGTCCGTCCTACCCCGGCCAGACACAAAACAAGCCCATAGACAATAAGGCTGATCATACGAGCTAGGAACCCCTTGAATGAAACCCCTCATGCCGAACGCCCAAGGAGGCGTAGAAAAAGGTTAGCCTCACCTGTCGTTCAAACATTTGTTAGAGCCTGCACTTGAAACCAAAAACATTGTGTGATGTAGCAATGCTATCAGCCACGGAGGCTGTACGGTAATTAATTCATTTCCAGGCCCTGCACCTGTGCATTTCTCATTGTCTTCCTTTGGCTTCCGATTGCTGCAAAAACTGGCTTTGTTTAGTGATTAGGCAGCAGGCGGTCAGCCCTAACTCCATTTCCCGCATGCGTTCCACAACCCGACCCACATTCCTCTAACTTAAGCCCTTGCCCAGCCTGTCTCAAAGTTGAAATAAAAGATTTCGCCATCTTCAGACTCACAAGGCTTCCAGGGCGCTGGCAGCCTGAGGCTAGTACCCAATCTCTGAACCCTGTAGATATACCAATTTAACGGAACTGGGGTTCCACAAACAGAAGGGCTAAGTAATTTCAGTAAGTTGTTAGTGCAAAGCATACTAGATGTGTACAAAGGACTATGCAGGGGTAGTATTTCTAAATTTTCCGAATTCCACGCTGAACTCAACATGTGTATTTGTATACACCCGAATATAGTTCCGGGTTTGGAGTTGAGGGGCTTGCGCTTCCTTGGAGGTTAAGCCTCCTTGTCTTCCCCAACAATCACCAGGTCCCCCAGAACGAAGCCATTTTGAGGAACCCCCCATTTCAGTACTTCGAACACATCGGGTCCTACTTGTTAAAGCATACTAATAATAGCAACACAAACCAAACGTATCATAAACAAGATCACAACAACTATACATGTCCCAAAAACCTCCCTTACTACATAGGCACTCTAATTGGCTGAAGGGGATCCTGAGGCTTGTGAATCCAAGCCCTTTCACACCCCGTTACATCTCTACCTATCCGTGCTTTCTTCTGTGTCCTTTATACACCCCTATGCAGCCTATGTATCCCTACCCTAAACCCTGAACGTACACCCTACGTAAACCCTATGCTTGGCACCACGTCCAGGCCAAGGCTCGGTGCTTTTAAGCCGGCTCGGGCAATCCAGAAAAGGTCTCGGTCTTTTTCCAAGTCCTTAGGTCTAGGATTTTGGTTCACATGGGGTTTAGGGCTTACATAGGGCTTAGCTTTCCAAATCATAGGCTTTACGTACTCTAAGGGGGGTAGGGGAATGAACATCTTGACTATTCTGGGGAAAAAGACAGAGAGGATTATTGGTCTGCACTTCCTCACTTTCTTTCAGCACCAGCAAGTTTGGCTGGTCTCCGTCTTTTGGCAAGTCCCGGGTAGGGTCGCTGAACCCAAACTTCCTAGATGAAAAACCCTCAGGCTTTTGCTCATGTCTTGGAGTTGGGTAGCAAAAGGGGGTGGCAGTTTTGAGGTTACAGAACTGAAAGGCTTAGGGTTGAAGGTTCGAAGGTTACGGGTTGCAAGGTCTGGGCTAATTGAACCCATCAAAGATTAAAATGTCGGGTGATCCCTGGGTTTACGACCCATCTCTTGCATGTTTTGCTTGCCTTCGTGTTTAGATGGCATGGTGATGCATGACCCTTGGTGCTCAAAATCCACCTCATGTGGACCTGCAAGACGCTCCTATATTTCAATCTCAAAAGTGGGTGGTCCCAAAACAGTCTTCGCCTTTTAACTTTCGCTTCTGGTTACAATCAACATGGCAAACACTTGGCGCACCCGAAGGAGCATGAACCTGGCCAGGGCACATTGCGGCTCATTGCGGAGAGTTTGAGAATCATTTGTGCATGGTGAACTATTTCCTTGAGCTGCAAGCCCATGATTCCTGGATGGTAGCTGCTTGTCTACAACATGAGGGTATGGGAGCCACTTGTCGCGGGCGTGCCTGCCCATATTCGCACGTTGCTGCATCGAGGCTTCTGAGATTTCCTGCTACTGCCTGCATAGCTGGCGCAACCTACAAGCAGGGGCAAGAACCGTTGCTGTAACAATCAGACTGCAAACTTGTTCGGCATTCAGAGCGAACTTTAGGCATTCCTCAGTTCCAGCAATATGACATTGAAATTGAATGCCAAACATTGCCGAACGGAATCATATGACGAAACACAGGGATGCGCCCTAGGTTGGTGCAAGGATCCATGCCCAGCCATTCTGCATATTCTTCGACCTGCAAGGCACTGGAAGAGAGAGGGTGTCTTGACGCATGGGGATTTGCCTATAGGGCTGGATATCCTACTTGTCACCAAGTCTTCTCGGGTGTACCCCAACTTGCTGAGATGCTTTGACGATTGCCGCGGAGAGCACCGTAAGCAAGCACATGGCCATAAGACGGATAGAGTCTTGATGCAACGAATCAGCCATGTACTTTGCTGTTACGCTTACGCTTGGTTGGAGAATGATGAAGGAGGGTCCGCCCCTCATGCCATGTTCGTTGCAAAGTTGAATTTTTTGTAGGAATACATCTGACAAGCAGTAGGAAAGCTGAGATGACTCCGTTACTTCGGAAACACAAGTCATACAAGGAACAAGAAAGGATAAGAAAAGCCACAGGAACGAGTTCAGATTCTATCAACCTCCATGAGAGCAAACTCTGCCAGCAGTTGCAGAAAGAGTCTCTACCATCAGTCTCTACCTGAAACTCCATCCACTCGCACCTTGCACTCTTGTCCCATTATTGACTAGCTATAGGCACTATAACCCCTAAAGAATCTAGGTAGATGGAATCAGTACCAAGGCTAACATGGCCTCCTTCTCACTGGGCTGGTAATCCGGATCAATGTGCTCATCCAGCAAGCTTCCAGCTCCCCGGGACATGGAACCTGTCGTCATGGGGTGTATCATGTGATGTAAAGATCCTTGTTTAAGGGTTCCACCGTCAGTGCACGGGTAGTTCACGAAACACATTTAGGACCCACAAAACTCGAAGTCCATGTCTGGCCGAGGGGTGCTATCTTAGAATCATGTAGATTCAAATGTCTATCCCATTGGGGAATCCTGGTTTAGGCGGCACAGGCTCCGTAATAAATGTCTTGGCAGCTGAAGGTTTGCCCACAGCCGTATTCAGTATGGTATAGCAAAGCCGCAGGCTTTGTCAAGGGCTGATGTGTACCAACGCTTCCACTCCATGCGGAATCTATGAGCAGGATGATGGGCTTTCGCTGCCACAAGGTCCATTCACACGATGTTCGGGGCCCCCAAGGGTATAGCCCCATATATGAAACTGCGAGAAGAGCTTCTGCTGGGTTCTTGAAGAGCAATCTTTCTCCGTTACTGGCTTCGCTGAAATCTGACAAGCTTGGCCAAGCTATTTCACCAGACTTATGTAGCTCAGAACCTGAAACTTCATTTGCTATTGCTGCGCTCTTTTCGCGCCTTACTGTATTAGCTCTATAAGTACGATGGATGTGAGCAGACGTGAAAGCGTCAACAGCCCGCAATAACGCGGATGCCTTTTCAAGGCTGGTGAGACGATGAATGGGAAACCCAGATTACCTTCCCCCCAACTAGAGATACACACATATATATATATATATATATATGTATATACACATATATGCATGTATGCACAGGGTTCTATAGGCTTATAAATGAACACAGAACCCCCATGGAGCCCCCCCTTCTTAAGAAGACGGCAGTCCGTGTAGGCCTTCTTTCGGGGTTCCGCGTTAGTTTGGGGGAAGGTAGCCTTGCCTTTCTTTGCTCAATATCAGCTACGTCTACACAAGGGCGCTAATGACATAGGATTCTGAAGATTGGTTTCATGTGGCTGCTGGCCAAATACTTGATTTCGGGCATGGGGCCAAAGGTTCTGAAGCAATGGGCATGACAACGAAAGCTGAAGGGCGCAAACATGTTACGCAGTGGCTTGACATCGAAGGTAGATGCTGGCAATACCTGTACTCACAGCTGTATCTCAAGCTGAGATTGCTGACGATCAACTTGTGCTTTGAAGCTTGGATATCGACGTGCAGTCAGAATGAAGCCGAACATTTCTCATGCCCATCATGTCTACTTCTGTGCACGAATTGCCTTCATCACACAAATGAGTGCCAAAAAACGAAAAAAAAAGCCAATTAGGAAGCCGGAGCCATATTACAACCATTGCAGCCGCTAAGGAACGGTCGGCAATTGCAGACCCTGTTATGTCTTAAGCGCCTTCCGATTCCTACTAAGTGGAGACTCCGCTTCGAGCCCCAAGCCTGCGGCCCGCTTCAAGGAATACATCTAAGCTCGCAAGTACGCAAGGTGTTATTGGCCAAGGGCTGGAATGATTCTACAAATCTGCCCTGATGCTGGAGATCTCTCACTTACCTGTCCAGGCTGTCGTGCTTACCTGGGCAGTCTGGGAACGAAGGCTTCGGGTGAAGGACATCTTCCATGATAAGGGCTCGTTCTAAGGATCTTACTGTGGCGCTGGGACCCATTTGCACTTCTGACTCTTTGTTGTATCTAGGGCACAGCTATATACGACGAGGTTGGCTAAAATCCTTCTACATGACGTGGCGAATGCTAGGTCCAAAAAACCGGCGTAAAGCCCTTCAACCAACGTCCATGGAAGAACAATGTTTTCCACAGCACGTGGTTGAAAGGAATCACTGGCTACCACGGATTTCAAGCACCTGCTCATGTAAACGTCTGCTCGTCAGCTACTTAGTCTTTATATGAGCTATCATAGTCAAAACTCCTAATATCCCCCTTAATAAGCCCTATACTATTCCCCTATATAACCCCCCATATAACCTCTAGCTCGTATGGGTAGGAGCTCCAAATGCCATACCAAGCCGCAGGATTCATGAAGCTCACCTTCGAAGACCCTGTCGGCAAGAAGTCCAGCTTTGGTCCCAAGCCAGCCTCAGGCATAGGGTTTAGGGGGAATGGAAGAGAAGATGGAAACTACTATAGTGGGTTGAAGGCATGCTCAGAAATCTGGGAGTTTCCTACTTCAGGGGGACAGTGTTGCTTGTCTCTATAAGTAAAAGTTTTTACATTTTGGATTCTGTATTGGCCCCCCCTGTTTTTGGAGGCTTGTGTCTAGCTCCCCTTGTTGACAAAAACTTGGCTAGGCTGAGTACTAGGAACTACATACTGCCTTGTTGACTTTTGCCACAGCTTCCACACCGACTGTAATCCTGGATTTTGCTTGGCTGTGTATTTGAAGAATACATTACAAACAGTATGTTTGCGTGCTGTAGTTCCTCTGGGGATGCTGTCGCCCATGTGAAAGCTACAGCGATTGCTGCCGCAGGCTTCTGCAGGTCGCTGCGCTGCTTTAATGATAATGCGTAATCTTGATGACCCTCTGGCGCATCATAGCACACCGCCCTCATACCAGGTTTGTCAGTTCTTACACCCAACAGGTTTCACTTCACACAACT